TCTATATTGTATTTTCATATTGCCTCTTTTCTCATTCATTGCGGATTTAAGGATGAAAGGCATGTTCAGAGGGAAGAAAGCAGCTACTCGGCCAATGAAAACAGAGCCTAAATTCTATTGTATATATATATATATATATATATATATATATATATATATATATATATATATATATATATATATATATATATATATATATGGAGATATATATATATATATATATATATATATATATATATATATATATATATATATATATATATATATATATATATATATATATATATATATATATATATATATATATATATATATATATATATATATATATATATATATATATATATATATATATATATATATATATATATATATACTCTCACACACTAAATTATATTTCAATATTTGGTAGATGTTGTAGAAAGAAAATTAGACTAAAACCTTCAAAAAATAAGTTTTTTCATGATCTTTTCAAGCATCTTATTGAGATGTTAAATAATCTACTTTAATTTCTAATTATTTAAAATTTTCTTGCTCATGTAACATGTTTTTTAAGAGCATACAAGTTTTAAAATAAAGATTCAACGATATCATTTGCAACTCATAAGAGTTCATTTAAACTTTTAAATAACTTTATTAAAACATCCATGTTATGTTATGTTTGCCTATCCATTTATCTCTTAATGGCATAGTTTTCAGCGCGTACTTATGATAACCGTATTAATTAAGGGACCGTATCTCACTTGTTTAAATATATATGCAGAATACAGCTCCAATTCCTCCACCAGGAGCTGATGGAATGCAATGAGTGGCTTTACGAATATCAGGAGACGCATCCGCATTTGCGGGTTGTAAGTTTCTGGGGGCACAAGACACTCTCTACGATCACAGGGGTAGGCATGATTACGAAGATTGCTACATTGAAGGATCTGTGGATTTCATCTTTGGTGATGGTCGTTCCTACTTTAAGGTAATTTTAATTAATATATATAAAACTAACATACTTACTAAAAGTGTTGGATAATGGAGTTTTAGTTCCGAAACAGATTCATCGAGAGCAAGTCTAAGTAGAAATTAGTCGTAAATATACATACGAATTCTCAAGAGCAACATACCGACTACGCGATAATATTATGCATAAATATAAATATGAAAGAGTACCTTACTTTATAGAAAATAATCCTTGAATTTGAATCATAACATACTTTGCAATAAATGTGTTACCATTGTGAAATATGTTTTGAGTGTGCATGCAAAAAACAGCTTATAAATTAAGTTACATAAACTAAAATGGATTTATAAGAATTAAACCACACAATCCCTAAGAAAATATAGTTTTCAATAAATGAGCATATATATACAACGTTTTGTTCACTTTAACTATTTTATGATCCTATTGCTTGTTTTTATTATTGATCCACTTTGAAGACTTACAAATATTACCATAATGGACTTCTTTCGTTAGCAAGCAATATTCTAGAATATCTAGATTTAAAGATTTGGTGGTTGCACTTTATAGTTTGATAATGACTAGAATTTTAGAAATACGTCCTTTATGTTCATGATATAAGCTCTTAATTGAGTTCATAATGAGTGAACTCTTTAATGACTAGACATACAATATATCCTTTTGATAGTGCCCATTAATGTTCACTTGTTCTCAAATATTAATTTTATGTGTCCTAAACACACAAAAACCTTATGACTATATGATAAGACTGCAAGTCACATTGTTACTACAGATTTCAATTGATCTTTATTGTCGTTCTCTCATAGTTTGTTGAGTTTTCTTATAAGGGACAATCACATTAACTTAATTGTAGCGTTTTTAAACATTGTCTTATTAGAAGAATGAAATTGATTCCCCCTTAGAGGCAATGTCACTAACCTTAACCATCCATTTAACCTCGACTACCTTAAAAGATCAATTTCTCCTGATTCGTCGTTCCATCTGCAAATATTTTTGAATTTCAACAAATCATCATATATCCGACCCTCTATAATAATTGTACTACAATAGTCAATTTACCTACTACCGTTTCACTTCCATGGTTAAGAAAAGCTAAATTTTAATATTTCCCTTTCAACTACATAAGCCCTCTACTTCTCTAAATGTGATTGAATTTTCTTTTACGAAATGATTGGTTGTATAATCCCAATCAATCTTATTCATACTATTACGTATATACATACACAAAATTCATAAAGGGGTCCACTCAGTAGTGAAGACATGACTAAAGCAAGTATATAAATATAAATATCATGAAATTTTGTATGGAACATCTATCTCCACTGAAATTTTATTTTATTCATATTTTTAATATTTTATCTCTTTATATAAAATGAAAAGAAAAAAAAAATACTAATGATTCTTATTTATGCAGGTTTGTGAGCTACATGCGATTGCAACAGGGGCAGTGGCAGCTCAAAACAGAAGCGCGAGTTCGGAAAATACAGGTTTCTCCCTTGTCAACTGTAAAGTGACGGGTTCAGACATAGTGTACCTAGGGAGAGCATGGGCTCCTTTCTCTACAACCATATTTGCTTACACATACATGGAAAACAATGTCATCCCGGAGGGCTGGTTTGACTGGAATGATCCATCTAGACAATCGTAAGTCATCCCTATATAAGTTGTTTTATATATCTGAAATTGTTATGAGTGATGATGTTATTTTTTCGATACAAATGGTATTTAATGGTACAGGACTGTAACCTTTGGGGAGTATCAGTGCAGTGGACCTGGATCAAATACTGCAGGAAGAGTTAAATGGTCAAAAATTCTTACTGATGAAGAGGCTGGACGGTTTACTTCCCTTGACTTTATTGATGCTTCTGAATGGCTCGACCTATCATAAATAACAACATGCTTTGATTAAATATTTTTTAGTTATGGATATTTTTTTTTTAAATGACTAGTTTTTCTTTGTGATTAAACATAGAGATAACTCAATCACGTAAGCAAACACAATAATGTCAAGCATGGTTTAGGTTCAATGTTAATGTTGTTAGAGCAAGGTGACCAACAAGCCAACTTGTGGATGTGGTCTTTCGTTTATTATTTTAATAAATAATATTTTTTCGTATTAACGATGAAATACATTTTGGCATTCTATATCTTTTTCCCTTGCATAAGCATAGATATAGTCCTTACAGTTATTATAATTACTAATATTTGATCTAGTAGGAAGATGAGATATAGTTAAGTAATATGACTGTTAAACCATGTTCCTAGTCAAAAGGTTACGCCACCAATGAGGATATCGGCATTTCCCATTGGAGACTAGCACTTAGTGTATGTGTACTGCGTCTCATCACTAAACGGTATTGTGGTATCGGCATACATAAGTGGGTTCTCATAAGTTGATGATTTCACTGAACTCTCTCATCCTAGAGATCTCTAACTGATTCTCAATAATCGAGTAGAGATCTCTATGATATAGTTGTATACCATTAGTTATTAAAACCCAAACATCACCGTGACTTCACTACAATACCAGCTAAATCGTGACATGTCCCTTAGTTCTACCGAGCCGCCCTAAGGGCCAGTATTCGTGTAGTCCGAAATCTAGTGGGTGGTCTGTGCATTGAAGTCGGGGATTCGATCGCTAGAATAATCTTGGATGTCCAGTGTGTTCTTATTGTTTGTAATCATTAAGTCTTTGTCCAGAGCTGAGTATGTGATGATTAGGGAATGGGATTCTCTAAGTCACAGATTGCAACACTTAGAACGATTGCACAGTTATTGAAGCATAAAGAAGGCCTCGATGAACCAATGTGTGACGCCCCTCTCACAATTACTCTTATTATATGTAATCTCAGCGGAAGACTTTCAGAAAAATAATTACTGTGGATATAAATTTATGTCAAAAATTTTCTTTTAAATCAAAGGGAGAGAGATCACACTTTACTAAACCCTAATCAATTAATTAACAAAAATACATACTACATGCAAGACTAGAAAATAGATAGGTATGTTGGACCTAATAAAAATTCAGACAGATTGAGTGGAGCAACTTCAAAAATTAATTCCTCTTAAAATATTAATAAAAATGAATTTAAATTATTACCATACATTATACCATGAGTCTACATGACTCATCTCAAACAGTTTTGAAAGATATTTGATCATTTGGGAGAAATAAATAAAATTATGGCACATACACTCAATTCATAATCCAGAACAAGGGAGGGAGATTTGAAATTTTCTAATAAATTCTTCATTGACTCAAATACCTTCCAATCTTATACCACAATTTAAAAACGAGTCGAGAATACATTTCAAGTGGAAACAAGACATTTGAGTGAGTAAAACTTCAGTCAAGTGAAAACACTAGACTGATCCTGTATTAGTGCAGTGGTGAGACACAATTCATAACTAATTCATTTCTCATTCAATTTATGCATAAGATCTATCACAGTAATTAGAACATAGAGATTCAGAGACTCTCAAAATTTCATGATTTACGAAGAAGAGAAAATATATTAAAATAATTTACAAATATCGAGACAAAACACGGAGAAATTACTAGTCGAAAAGCGTATCTTCATAGAGTTGGTAAAATTTGCTTTTGTTTACAAAATATTATGGACTACCGATTAAATATCCAAAAGGATGGTAATCCTAATTACTATTACACATATTGTCTTTTAATAATTCCCACCGATCGGAGGAAGCGATTGATAGTAAATACCTAAAAGCGTATCAAATGTTTTTACAAGCATATTATACAAATAAAACCAATTAATGAGAAAATAATACGTGTAATGAGACAAAACTTCAATGAAGTATGTATAATTTATCTAGGTATTTTGGAGGACCATAATTACAATTTTCTCATTAATTGTGATGCTGATCTGTATATATAACTCCTGCAAGCACTAACTTCATTACAAGTCAAAACCATTACATTATTTGTCCAACATTTTTTCTCTCTCTTCTCCTTAAAACCTTCTCTCTCCTCTCTTTAAAATCTTTTCTCTTGTTTACATCGTTAACCATGTCTCCGTACACACATATCCTCCATCTTGTAACAACTCTTATTCTACTTCTCATTAATGGAAACAATGAAATAATCATTTGCTACAGCAACAAAGTCATCATGAAGGCCCCTTCTATCATCATTATAGTCGATAAAAATCCAGGATCCGTAAATTTTACATCAATTCAAGGTGCAATTGACTCTCTCCCTTTGGTGAACCAAGAAAGAGTTTTGATCGATGTTCATGCAGGGATATACACGTAAGTTCTTCTTCCTTAGTTCATCCATTTATATGCGTATATGTATATTATACTTGCATGAAGTTTATTCATTTGTTTGAACTAAATATTATTTGAAGGGAGAAGGTAACAATACCTTCAACAAAAGCCTACATAAAAATACAAGGTGCTGGGGCAGAAAATACAGTGGTTCAGTGGGGTGATACAGCCAGGTCACAGCCACTTGGAACATATGGTTCAGCAACTTTTGGCGTAGATGCACCATACTTTGTAGCAAAAAATATCACATTCAAGGTAGTGTGCAGTCTCACCTCTTTTGTTTTATGTGCTTTAATTATATGTTACATGTGTCATTTGATGAACGGATAATATATATATATATATATATATATATATATGTATATATATATATATATATATATATATATATATATATATATATATATATATATATATATATATATATATATATATATATATATATATATATATATATATATATATATATATATATATATATATATATATATATATATATATATATATATATATATATATATATATATATATATTATTTCAAAATTTTATATTCTATAAATCCGAAAGCTATTATCTTATTTATAATTTAATTTTCCGAAAAATATAATATTTTGATTTTTTTAGTAATATTTTTATTTAAATTTTTAATTAAATAGTTATATTAATAATTTTGTAATTTAAATATACATTCGAATAATTTATGAAATTTTAGTGTATTTGGAATGATTTGAAAAAATATATTCATTTCGTTTTAATTATTTTAAATTTTTTGCAATATTTGTATAAATTTTGAATATTTATATATTTTTTTAATTTAATTATATTTGATTATTTATCGTCTTATATATATATATATATATATATATATATATATATAAATAAATTAAAAAATAACAAAACAAAAAAAAGAAGAAGAAAAATTGGAATTTCTTCCTCCGTATTTAAAAATTGGAACCTTTTGTGAGCACAATATTGCTGTCACTAAAGATTATTTTCTTTTGTGACAACTTGATACTAAAGGTAACGAATACTATTGTTTGTCACCATAAAGAAACCTTTTGGTAACAACAGTAAATCTCTTGTAACGAAGTAATCAAGTTGTCACCGAAAAAGGAATTTCTCGTAACGAATTATTTCTTTTTGTAATAACTAATCCCAGTCGTTACCCAAAACTGAATGTTTCGCGACAATACTTAAAGTTTGTTACAGTAAATGAGTTATTGTTTGTTCTTACAAAAAATATTCTAATTAATATTACTGTATATATATATATATATATATATATATATATATATATATATATATATATATATATATATATATTACAAAGGACAAATGAATATTAATGAAAAATTAAACATAAATGAAAAATTTAATGGAGACTTGATTATTGTCGG